AAACCCCAAGTGCTGTGCCCCACCAATATTCTATTATGCATGAAAATAATAAGATATGAATATGAGTTATTCGGATTATATTGATATAATAAATGAAGTAGAAAATATAGAACGGGTTGTCATAACTGATAATAGATGTAAAAAAATATGTTATTTTATTTTAGAATTAATTAAGTTTTTGATACAATATATTAAAAAATATAAATATTAATATAAATGCCAAAAAGAAAACCAAAAAGAATAAGATAGGTTTAAGTGTTTCTTCAACAGATGAAGATAGCGGAGAAATTGTTAAAGACACATCAGTATTTGAGATTGCTTGTCCTATGTGCAAAAAGATGTTAGAACTTAAAAATGAATTAGAAATAAAAAATAATAAAACATGTAAATGTTCATGTATTCCAACAAGTTTCAAAATAAGTAAAAATGATAAGAAAATGAATATTGATAAAACTAAAGACAGTATCAACTTAGAAACTGATGTCCATAGTATAACTTTTAAATTTGGTAGGCAAGCAACACCATCCGATAATAATGAAAACGAAACTCAGGAAACTATTAAACAAATCATGAAAAATTAGTATTTAAAGAGTAGATTTAACATAATTGCACTTTATAAATATATATAATTAAATAAATAAATAAATATCTAATTATTTATATAATCATAATGCCAACTATGAATGGGCAAGATCATAGAATTATAACTTTTGACGATGAAGAAATTAATGATATATTCGATGGTGATAAAAACTTTGCTAGACAATTGAGTATAGAATATTTTTATTGGTTAGATGCTAAATTTAATAATAAATATTTTATGAAAGGTATAACTAAACCGGATAAATTTGATAAAATGTTGAAGTTTTTGAAATTACAGGTAACGATGAAGGTTTAATAAAGTTGAAAAATAAAATTGATGAAAGACTCTTAGAATATAATTTATTTACATATATAACATTAAATTATTCGGGAAAATTATATAATAAAACATATAATTAAATAAATCATTATCTAAATAAATATATAGTAATGTCTGAAAATGAGAATTATACTAGTAATGTCTGAAAATGAGAATTATACTATTAATGATTTAATGAAGAAGATAACATTAATTGGTAAAAATATCAAAACCTTAAATGATATGATTAAATCCATTGATGACAAAATGAAACCAGTTGAACGCGAACAACAAAGCAACGAAGAGAAGGAGAAAATCGAAAAGATATTTCAAGCAAAATCTATAGGAAGACCATCGGGCGACTACCCTACAAAGCAAAAGAAATACTGTGATATGTTGAATACAGGAAAAATCAAACAACCTAAAAGCACCACTTTAGAATTTTACAAAATTTCAAAAAATGATGATGGAGTATATGTATTATTTGAATAATTAATATCTAAATAATTCTAATAAATGAATTTATTAGAATTATTTAGTGGAACAAAAAGCGTTGGAACCATAGCAAAGTCGCTTGGATTTAATGTAATATCATTAGACTTGAAAAATGCTGATATAAAAACTGATATTTTGAAATGGGATTATAAACAATTTGATAGGAACCATTTTGATTTTATTTGGAGTAGTCCCCCATGCACTGAATACAGCATAGCAAAAACTAGGGGAATTAGGAATATCGAATATGCAAATAGTATTGTCTTAAAAACTATTGAGATTATCAAATATTTCAATCCTAAATATTTTGTAATCGAAAATCCACAAACTGGATTATTAAAACATCAGGAGTTTATGGATGAGTTTGATTTTAAAGATGTAGATTACTGTAAATATGGAATGCCTTACAGAAAACGCACTAGGCTCTGGAATAACATTACAACTTGGAAACCTAGAGAATTATGTAAAAAGGATTGTGACAACATCAGGAATAATAAACATATTGAAACAGCACAACGTTTGCCAAGTGGAAACAAGGAACAATGGGGAGACAATCCAACAATACATAAACAGGAAGATTTATATAAAATACCTAGTGATTTAATATTGGAAATTTTGATGAGTTTGAATTAGGGGCGGGCCCAGAAAGAAAATACACATACACAACCCTGACCCAAAACCCCACTCAAAAGTTGAGTAAAAATACTCAGAAGTTGAGTAAAAATACTCAGAAGTTGAGTAAAAATACTCAGAAGTTGAGTAAAAATACTCAGAAGTTGAGTAAAAATACTCAGAAGTTGAGTAAAAATACTCAGAAGTTGAGTAAAAATACTCAGAAGTTGAGTAAAAATACTCAGAAGTTGAGTAATCAAAATTAATGTAATCTTAACCATACTATGATTATAACATTTATACCCTTATATGTTATAATTATAATGTAAAATGACTTAAAGGAATAAATACTTAATATAATAAGAGGAAAATGCCAATGCTAGGAGTGACAGAAAAAGAGCTGGAACAGGATAGAAAGATAATATTGAGTTTCATTAAGGATAATCCCTATCCATCGTATAAACAAGTCATTGAAATAATTAAAAAACGATAAAACAATGAAAGATATATATCCAGATATGTTCGCTGAGTATGGAGAACAAAATCATCAATGGATAAAAGAGATTTACGAAAACATAATGAAAGAAGAACTCGTTAAACGTAATGGTAATAGTATTAATGAAAGAGGAGGAATGACAACAATGCATTGTAATTATTATACTTTGGTATCAGTGTTGCGTTATTTAATACAACAAAGAGCACCAATGAAAGATTATGACGTTAACTTAATCTGGTATAATATCAGAAACATTTTGAGCAGTTCTTGGAACAACATAGGCGACTGGAAACACTAAAAACAGGTTTAATCATACTATAATAATAACATGTAAAATATTATATGTTATAATTGTAATATATTTATCGTTTGTAAAGATTGAATTATTATATTTTCCTAATTTGCTTATCTCTTTCAAAGTGCGTTGTTTAGACTTGGCATGCTCTTTTGATTTTTTCGTGCTTTGGTTGTTTGTTTTGTTTTGTTTGATACTCTTGTGATATTTTTTGTTGGTATGTTGCTTTGTTTTTTGTTGATGTGTGTTTTTGAGTTTGGGTTCTTTGATGATTTAGAGTGTTGCTGTTTTGTTGGTATGCTTGTTTGAATTATTTAATGTTGCATGCTGTGATTAAATATTTTGTTGCTGGTTGTGATTATTTACTTTGTTTGCTTGTTGTTCTGGATTTTGTTTTCTGTTTGTTGTGTTGCTGATGGAGAAAAAATAGTAGAAAGAATAATTCTTTGAATTCTCCTTTTACTATTTTGGGGGTGGGGTGGGGCAGTTACGTTCGCCTCTTACTGCGTGCCTGTGCAACTGCGCCCTGGGGCTGGGGGAAGGGGGCAACCAGGAGGCTCCGAGTCCCCAGTTACCTTGGCTTTCTGAGCTAAGATGTCCTCGGCGACTTGCGCCCGTTGGCCCCCGTAAAGCCGTGAAAACGCGGCCTAACGGCCGTAATAACTCACGGGGGAAACTGAAAGGCCGTTACTACTCCGTGAAAAAGCCGGGAAAACTCGTGAGATTTCAAGCTCTGAGTTATCTTGTCCTCGCGACACAAAGAAGATCCTTAGCTCATACGGCCTAAGTAACTTGCGAATCGGAGCCTCCTGGAATTGCGATCGCCGCTTACTGCGTGCGTATTGGGGCTGGGGGGGGGGGGTGGGGTGGGGCAGTTAAAAGCTTCTTGCTGCGTGACCGTGCGACTGCGTCCTGGGGCTGAGGGGGATGGGGCGGGGCAGTTACGTTCGCCTCTTACTGCGTGACCGTGCGACTGCGCGCTGGTGGTGATGGTGTTGTTGGTAGTGATGATGACGATGTTGATGATGCTGGTCATGATGATGATGATGATGATGATGATGATGATGATGATGATGCTGATGACGTTGACGATGTTGTTGATGATGATGATGACGGTGATGATATTGATGATGATGGTGATGAGGATGTCGATGGCGATGACTTTGACGATGTCGATGATTATGGTGATGTCGACGTTGATGTTGCTAATGGTGATGATGTTGTTCATGATGATGATGATGATGATGATGTTTGATGATGATGGTGATGATGAAGATGTTGGTGGTGATGTTGATGATGGTGATGATGATGTTGGTGTTGATGTTGATGATGGTGATGTTGTTGGTAGTCATGATGACGATGTTGATGTTGATGTTGATGTTGATGTTGATGGTGATGGTGATGGTGATGGTGATGGTGATGGTGATGATGATGATGATGATGATGATGATGGTGATGATGATGATGATGATGATGATGTCGCTTTGCGTTCCTTGTGCTTTGCTTTCCCGGGTCTACAGTTGACGATTGTCTCCCAAAACCACGCCGCCATCCCTGTGCTACACATGCATCGTGGTGCGTGTTCGTGCGCCTCATCGTGGTGTGCATGGACACTTGGAAAAAATGGCCGTGCTGCTGTAAATCACATACACTTGAGCAAAACCGCGTTCAAAAACGAGCCAAAACACGCGTTCAAAAACGAGCCAAAACACGCGTTCAAAAACGACCACCTTCCCCTTCCCTGGTAACCCTTGAGTGCATGAACCGGTACCAAACATCCGCCATGGGGTCCTGAAGGGACAACACTTTGGTTGTGCGTGTTTCTGCGGTACTTACCCTTGTCAGCTAGGTTTCGATGGAAGGCAACAGGAAACATCTCTTCACTTGGTGGCTTCCCCCATGTTGACACATACATACCCATATGGGGGGTGTCTTGAAATAGGGGAGGGCTCATTTTGGCTGTTCCCCCTTAAACAAACCAGCTCAAAAGTTTGTACCTGGAGTCTCGATGACTCTTCAACAATGACCTTCACATTGGGGGGGATTCTTTCAACTCAACATGTGGGGTCGTGAAATCTGTTCTAACGGATCTGGGAGACGCCAGGTACCGTCAAACAACGACAGACCCACATGCTTTTTGGTTCTAAACGCCCCTTGGTTTCGGCGCCATACCCATGCCACAGGCCCCATAAGGCGGGCGCCAGCAGGCGCTGCCGCACCTCCTCTGCCGTGGCTTCCTCCGGCAGCTCCAGCTGATACTTTCCCTGCGACGTAGGAACTGGGTGGATCTGGGAGAAACAGATTACTAGGGGGGACCTTTGTTGCAATTGGGAAGTGATGATTTCCCTTAAACCAGCACCTGCTAGGGAGACTCAATTTACATGGGCCAAACACAAAATACACAAATAACTAAAATCTCTAAAAAAATAGTAGCATGGTAGTATCTAACTCAACGCCGACCACAAGCATTATTAGAGGGGACCTTTGTTGCAACTGGGAAGTGATAATTTCCCCCCGATACAAAGGAAAACCAGCGGATATAGGAAACGCAAGGTGAACCAGACAAAAGGCAAAGGTGGCCGACAATCTGCACCGGGACTCGACTGTAAATGGATCCATACTCGTTCAACCTAAGGTAGACTGCTGGATGTGGGTGTCATTCAGGTTTTACCAATCAATTTGGGAGAATGCCCAATCACAACAAACATTGGTACAGGCATTCATGACGGCGCGCTAGAATCATTTCTTCCCTTCCTCTGGGTGCACATGGAATTATAATTGGAGGGCGACCCCGGCATGTTCAACTTCAAAGTATACTCAGTTGTTCAGTGACCCTGGAAAAAAAGGGACCCCTTTTTGGGGAAGACCATTTTTAGTGGGGCAGCCACCAAAACAAAAGGAGAAAAAGGGTGCCACTGAACAACTGAGTGTAACCTGACTGTCCGATTCCTGCGTCAAACATCGCGCCTTGCGAGGAGTCACCACGGTAATCCGCAGAACACCCTGGCAGTTGAGAGGCTTTGAAGCAGAGGTATCGGATTGTTCATGTCTGGCATTGATAGTCTTAGCTGGTTAGGCGTTGTATCCAAGATGGGTCTTAAATAAGGCATATTTTTGCGGTTTGTAAATCAGGAATATTTACGCATTGCTCAATCTTGGGTAACACATGTACACATAGACCGAGTTTTGTCCGTTCAAGAAGAGCTCAACAAATTCCCGTACCCAAACTCGTCCGCATGGCCGCCAAAGACCACGCGGCAACGTATTCTGTATTGCGGCTCTAGGAGAGCGCATTCAGGGATGCAGGCGTAAAGTGCTACAAACCTACTGTTCGGCCTTGCTTCCATCAGAATGGCCACTTTTGAATGTGCGGAATCCGTCTTGAGCAGGGAGCGTTGGGATTTCTGTCTGAAGTTGAAACAAGATTCGGTCAAGACAGTTGTGGTATCAGTCAGTTTGGCTTGGTGCATTGGATCGCCGACATGACGGAGTGGTGAGATGTGACAAAGTTCTCCTCTCAGTGTCTGTCTGGTGTCTAATTTAGGGTCGACTTGCAGCAGGCCACAATGGACCAGGAAACCCAGCCGCTTCTCTCGCAATGAAAGACCTCCAGGAACATAGCAACTCGCCGTCAGAACTTTGAAGTCTGCCCCCGGCATCCAAGTGACTGGCGTGTCAAGCCCCTTGAAGCCAAACCAAAAAAGGGGCCATTCTTGGCCGTCAAGATGGCAATCCTGCGTCTCGAGACATTTGGGTATATCTTTCCGTTGGGCAAACCAAACAATTGCTGGCTTTCCTTTCTGCTTGCCCTTTAAAACCACCAAAAAGAGGTACCAACTCCCGAAAGACTCGCCCATTTGGTCCTTAGGAAAACCAAAACCCGAAGCCTTGGCTTCCAAATTCGGCTAAAGCGTCGCACCGAACGCGTCGAACGCGTGGAGCGCGGCGAACCTCGGGGGGCGGCTTGGGTTTCACCAAGGGTCGGGTCCGCGGCAGGAGCCCGGCGCTATGCTGGGTGGCGCAGGCCTGGCGCCCAGTCGTCGCTTTGGTCGAGGCGGCGACACTCGGCCAACAAAATGAAACGTGGACCCGCAAAGCAAAGAACTTCCCTTTGTTGAAGGAACCCAAGAAGGAGGTTCCCAACAAAGGAACATGGCTTCTCCAAAGACGAGGTCCCCGAAAAAAAGGAATATGGTTCCTCAAAAAAGGGGTCCCAAAAAAAGAATACAAGGTTCCTCTAAAAAGGAGTTGTTTTTGCGGTTCCTCTAAAAAGATTGGGTTTTTGGTTCCTCAAAAAGGAATACAAGGCGGGCAACTACTCTTTGGGGCTGTTGCTTGCAGTTGTATCAGGTTGTGCTTCTGCGGAAACTCTACAGGCGTGGAGGTGCAACTTGCCATCTTCCATGTCTCAGCCAGCGCGGGAAAGCGGAATGCAGAACTGCCGAAACTGCGTTCCACACCTATGGCTGGGTACCATGATGAAGAGGTAGGATTGGAAACCAGCTTTTGTTTTGCGGAAACAAGCATTTTGACAGGCATGATGCTCTTACTGCTCTTCGGGAAAAAAGAAAAGAAAAAAGAAACAAAGAGGTGAAATTGTTCTATAGGATTAAGTATCCAGGACTGACCAGCCCACCTGATGCGTTGCTGAATCCGAACCCACTCCTAGCACGCCCAAGCTCCATGGAGGATTGTGTTGGCTTCAGAGCTCATGGGCTGTGGCGCCACCTCAGTTGTGCGAATGGTTACACAGAACCACTGAACGGAATGGAAGCCATCCTTCAGAAACATGCTTCATATGCTTCATATGGTTCATATGGTCTATGCTTCATATGGTTGAGTTTCTTTGAAGCCATCCTTCAACATGAGTTGCAACATGCTTCATATGGTTTATGCTGCGCTCCGGTTTACAAATTGTTCATCCCAATGAACAAGGTTTATTCATCCTGGGTCCCTTCGGTCTAGAAGAGGGGAAATACTAAATACCCTCCCTCCAACTAACACGGAAGTGCACAAACTCCCTTGCCAAGAGGAATCTTTCTACCGGGGTCTGTGCACTTCCAGCTTAGTCTGTGGGAGGGTAAGAGGTTCATCATGTCTCATACTTGAGTGAAGTTAATCTGTTCAAGGCCATGGCGCCTGGCATGGAGTACCTTCGATTCATAGGAAGCCTGGACCAGTGGAAGGATAAGCTTGGAGTCTTATGCTTCTGCCTTGCTTCTAGTGTGATGCTGTGCGGGCATTCTTAGGGACTTGTTTCTCTGGAGATGGGCATTCACAAGCGTCCCTTTGAAGTTGCTGACGTGTTTTGCCCGGTGTCGCGGCTGATATGGAGTGACTATTGCTGTTTTCGCACTGGCGCTGGGTATGTGTGGCTCTGTTTCTTTCGGAGATTCGGCAGTTTGGCACGCACTGCCGTGGTTGCATTTGTGCAACAACGCCGACTGTCAGCGCCTTTTTGCCAAACAAAAAAAACAACAGAAACAGATTTCAGCCGCTTCGAAGATCTAGGTCTTGCATGCTTCCCATGTTAGTCTTAGGCGCGGGGAATGATCCCAACTCGAGCCTGCGGGTTAGACAAAGTGAGGCTTTCACTCAAGGCCTGGCCTGGAAGCGTCCAGGCCAGCCATAGCAGGTAGCCCTCCACTTTTCTTACCAGGTTCATCATGGCTTCTCTTGCCTGTGGCTTGCCTGGAAGCACGTGGTACGGATGGACGGAATGCTACACCACCCCAAGGATGATTCCCCTTCGAATAGCAGCAAACAATGGTGTCCCATGGTTTCTAAGTGGTGCGAAACGGGCTTCGTCCATCCGCAGTATTCCAGCGGTCTAGCCAAAGCGAAGAATCCAGCGGCGCTCAGCGTCAACCGACGTGGACACCTCGCGGTCGCCGGCCTTCAAGGACTCAGGCACACCCGGGTCGCGCACCCGCGGCGCCTGGCGGGTCACGCACCTTTTTCGGAACGAAGCGGCGAAAAAGGACACACCCCGGATGGAGATGTGTCTCTAAATTGGATTTCCTTTGGGTGGCCCAGTAAAGCCAGACAAACATGGACATCATATGGTTGTTTCTTACACTTCGGACCTCGTTCAGGTGGGTTTCCTGTTGGTTGCTCATTAAAGCCATGGACTTCTGTTTTGAGAAACAAATGGAACCCATGTTCGGACACCACTTCCCATGTTCATCTGGACCAGGTTGCTAAGTGACCCCGGAGTATACCCCACAAATCTGCCGGTGATCAGGACAACAAGAACCGGCCACTTATGTTGGTTCTATCTGGGTGGGTTCTTCTGACTCTACCTTTTTTTGAGGGGGAGGGGGGGAGGTTTTTTGGTGCCCTTCAAAGCAGGGTTCCCCATTTGGACGAGGACATACGAGGACTGTAGAGGAACCCGCCTACACCCTGGTCGCCTATTAATAAGTGTTGTTCCAACTGGAAATTGGATTGCGGGGGAGGGACGCTCTGTCATTATTAGGGGAAGTGATGAACATGCAGGCTGCAAAGCTTGCCCAAGTCTGAATAGCAGCAAGGACCCTTTTGGATGGCTTCAAAGGCAAACGCGGCAGCAACAGTTTGTGGCGTGACGCTCTAATCTTGAGACACACCAGAATGATAAGCTGTGATTCATATACACCGGGAGTTGCATTCCAAGCAGAAGGTTGCGGTTTGGATTGATTGGGAACTTGCCTCAACATAGTCTCGAGAGGGAACAAACAGGCAGCACTAGTCTTTGCCCCTCTAGTCTAGAGGCTCTACTCAACACATCTGCTACTGGAGCGCTGCAACATTCCAACAGGCAAAAGGATACACAAAGCAGTCGCAGCGACTCAAGAAATCCATCTTCCCTGAACGCCTGCATGGCAGAAGGCGGAAGGGCCCTCTCGCGCAGTCTAAACCGCTGAATGGACCTGTCAGGGGTAGACCTCTACCCAAAAGCCAAAGAACCCAGCAGTTCTGCAAGTTTGAAGGGGAACTGGATGAAGAAGCTTGAACACACTTTGAACACGCTCAGGCATCTAAGTGCTCAAACAGTGCAATGGCCGTTTCATGGGCTCGCTGGTAACATGCTTGATCCTGCGCGCTGCGGTGCCACGGCCTAAAAGAAAAGGCATGAGTTTGTTTCAAGGGAGGTTCCATTTAGAGCGGGTCCAAAACAAACAATTTCCTGTGCCGTGGGCAAGAGAGCGACATGTTTTACACCACGGGTAAGTATTTCTGTTTGCCAGTCAGCCCGGGACATACGAGTCAGCCTAGCAATTCATTGAAACGGCCAGCCGAGTTCCTATTGAAACTCAGGTTTTTGTGCGACGAGAATCGAATGAGGAACCCTGTTCAACCCATTGATGATTTGCCGAACGCCATTCAGCAAGGAATTTCGGAAAGCTCCAAAGCCTGATGTTCCAGGATGCGCAACCAAATGAAGCTTCACAAACGGCTGGGGGGTAGTGAGCACGGCCAGTTTCTCTCCATTGGCAACCTTGTCATACCTCAATCTCCTTTGGAGCTGAGCTGTGACGAAAAAAAAAAAAAAAACATTGCCACACCTCCTTTCATGATAGGAGGTCCTTTAACGTCATCACAAAGCTATCCTGGACCTGTACATGTTCACCCAACGCTGCCAGCTCGTGCTGCAACTCTCGCTTGGCAGCCAGCCTCAGAAAGCAGATTAGCGCATGGCAACGGGTTCAGCAATCCGATCGACTCTTGAACCACGTGGGCGGAAGTTCTTCTGAAAGGAGGAACCCCTAAACATACTTGGTTGCAACCAACAGTGAACCCGCAATCGTAGGACACCTCGAAACAGCCATGCCCAAAAATAAAACCGGGCCGGGGCAGCTAAGGGAAGTGGAACCTGCAAGTAATCACGCACTTGAAGACTCTAAGAATGTGTGTGTGTGTGCGCGTGTGTGTCTGCCAGTGCATTGTGTGGGGCTCGTTGTCAAAACTTTTTGGTCGCCCTGTCCACGCGGCACTAAACTTCTCCATCTTCCATCAAAGGGGCCCTTTTGGCCAGATTGAAGCACAGCATCAACAGAAACAAGCTTCAGAAACATCTTCCAACCCACCCAAACCCCAGGAGTTCCATCAGTTCCGTTTTTGTTGGGGGCTGGTTTCTTCGACCGCGACCCACCGAGTCGTTCCGTGCACGAGTCAACGAGACGAGGGGCTTGTAGATGTAGGGCTTGCTGGGCTCCTTCCAGACCCCGGTGGACTGGGAGCGGATCAGGATACCCTTCCTCAGTTCAGTGACCCTGGGGAAAAAAGGGAACCCTTTTTGAGGCTTGGACCAGTTTTTGGTGGGGCTTGGACCACTTTTTGGTGGGGCTTGGACCATTTTTTGGTGGGGAAGACCAGTTTTTGGTGGGGCTTGGACCAGTTTTTAGTGGAGCAGCCACCAAAAGAAAAGGGAAAGAGAATTGGTGCCACTGAACAACTGAGCTTCAGGTTGGTGATCTGCGACTCCTCGTAGGACCGCTGCTGACTCTTCTCCAGGAACTCCGCGCTGTCCTCCTTCCTAAGCAACGGATGAAAACGGATGATGTCGTGTCACACCTGTGGAAAAGGTAGAAAGACAAGAACAAGGCTCTGTTTGCTTACTTGAGAAAATCACAGAGAAAAGGCATGAGAACAGGATTCAATGACATAATTTAGGGATCATGTGACCTTTAACTGGTTGACACAGAATGAATGCAATGCTTTCCTTGAGAACATTGACATCTAACCCTTGTCGGCTCAGCAATACTCCAACACAACCAGTTTGACCTGCGCAAGAAGCAGAAACGAACGGCGGCTTTGACTTGGTTGCTGTTGACCCTCTGCAAATAGTTCAATGGATTAATGTCCCCAAAGGTTGCAGAAAAAAACAAGCCAACCTTCAATGGATTGATTTCCCAAAAAGCGAAAAAGCATTTCTACGGGTGTCCAACCAACCCGGCAAAGTTCACCGCCGAGCGTCTTGGCGGCTTTCAACTCCGTCAGCGCTGCCTGGCAGGACCGGAGGTTCCCGATATGCTCCATCAGCTTCCTGCCGAAGCACTCGCGTTGCGTGCGTTGTTGGGTCGCACTTTCCAGGTTGGCTTAGGAAACCAACAGGAACACACCACATGCAAACACCATTGGGGTCCCCACCCCACTCCCCCCCACCCCAACTTTCACACATACCGACTTACAAGGTCCTGGAACACGAGCTGTATCCTTCTGCGGACATGTCATGTTGCTCTAGCCAGCAAGTAAGGCTTCTCAGTGGGACAGGAGGGTGTTTTAGCTTACACTTCTCAGTGGGTTGAAACATCTACACTTGAGGACACGGATCGATACACAAAACAGAAGGATAAATGAGTTTAACACAGGCAGTAAACATGACTTCAAAGTACACTTATACCAAAAACAGTCAGTAGTAGTAAGAGTGAAACGACTATCAACACAAGTTGAACAGTCTTGGTCTCCATTCCTTTCCCCCGGTTTCTTCCGACTACACTCTCATCTCAAACACAGCTGCGTGAACCCTTGCTGAAGCCCAAGGCAAAACAGGTCCAATCAAACTCCACTCACCAGGGTTTCCTATTTGACGTTTATGATGTGAATAGCTGCCCTCAGCTTTCCGGTCCTAGCTGCACCTGTTTTGGACACCAAGACGAAGCTGCAAAAAAGCACAGTGATTCCAGAGAAGTGAAGCACCCTTAACAACCAAAGGACCATGGCTGCTTACCTACTGTGGACAAAATCCTGCACCAGTTGGTGGCTTATCCTATTCATTATTCCCAAAGGGTCCAAGTACCTCCTGAGGTAGAAAACTAAGTACCTCCGTAAAGATGTTTAGACCCTCTAGGATTATGTCCAGGGCTTCATCAAGATTAACTGGTGCAGGAGTTTGTCCTGCTGTACCTGGGATCTTGCAGAAGGAAGTCCTCTGGTTCGCCACGAAGCCCTCGCGGGTGGTCTTCGGGAAGCTGGGATTCACCTCAATGCCGAAGAGCGAAACATTGGGGCGGGGGGGGGGGTCTCAAGAGTTGGTTCCCTTTAGGTTCCCCTTGAAGTACCTTTGGGTTTCGTTTGAAATAATTGCCAACCCAATGGTCAAATGGTTGGCTGCCTTTGGGTTTTCCTTGAAGTACCAACCTTGGGCGTCCCGAAAAATAATTGCCAACCAAACAGTGGTCAAATGGTTGGCTACCTTTGGATCCTGTGAAATTGAAAAATACTCTTGGCAAACTCTGAGCACAGGGCACGAATCTACCTGCGGGAAGTGTCATACTTGATCGACCTGAAATAGGAGAACTCGCCAAGAAAACAAACTTCCACAGGTCGCAAACCCGAGTGCGAGGTTGCCCCAGAGAGTGACTTGCTAACCTGCAGCACATCCCAAAACAAAACAATGGAGGCCCAGTAGCCAAGGCTCAATGGAGTCCGAGCTTCCAGTGGGCAGGAAGCCACCATAGGAACAGCTGCTGCCAAGTGGCCCGCGCTAAGATACGGAACTTTTAAGCTAACTTGTAGCATAACATATAAGTTGACCAATCTAGGGTAGAAGTTCTCTAAGCTCGTAAGTTCCCCGCATCTTATTGGGTGCATGTATAATTTAGAGTTTAGATATGCTCAGTTCATGGAACTTCTGGAGCACAAAAGTGTAGTGGCCAACAGGTCTGAACCCAGTCTGAACATGTCTGAGCCCGAACTTGATTGGGACATCGGGTGGGCCTTCTGCCATCTTCCTGGTCTTGGCCTATCCCACAATCGACTGATTTCAGACTGCTTCCAGACCGGTTGATGCTTGGTCTCAGGCGGGTGTCACGCCTCTTTTTTGGCCCGCGAGCTCTCGAAAGGGCAAAAAAAAACGGCTCGCCATGGTCGCAATAGAATTGAGACCACCCAGAGTCTCAGAAAATTGCGAGATTTCTCAACTCCGCCGTTGAACTAAGATTTTGTTGCGAGACTCTCGACAGTAAACGTGGATTTCTGATCACACAACATGACCGCAGTTCTAGTAGCTCGCTGATCAGGTGATGTTACATTAAGAAAAAAAAAACGTCATATTTACTTTCAAAATGACAGGTTTATCCGTAGGCATGCCTAGATAAGACATGCGGCTATGTGTGCTCTGGCAAATGGCATGACCGTGGACAAACCATGGACACACCATGGCAAGCATGCCGGGCAACCTTCAACTGAAATGGTTGCTTCGTGCTGGGCTGGTGGTGAGCTGCGCGCAATCGTTTCCGATTTGCTCCCGTTTGACACTCTTTTAATGCATTGTTGAGGGCTCAAGTCATGTTGCCACCTCGGCTGAATGCCTCTACAAAAAAAATATTGACGAAACTTGGGGCATGCTATGTGCACAGCAATGCTATCTATTTCAGCAGCCAAATTGGCCAGTTGGATGAAACATACTACCACAGACCCCCAGAGAAAAACCAAAAAAAACAAAAAACAAAACGGCATGCAAGCTTCCAAATTTAGATTAGGATCACTTCGGTAGCAGAAGTGTGAGTTTGAAGTATTTAGGGCCAGGAGCAAAAAACAACATCTCCAAAAAACAGTCTAGCTGCCTCGACTATTCTTTTTATGGCCTTTTGGAAGGGTGGGGATTAGCTTTCAGCTGTTGGGGAGTAACACCTACCAGCTCCACGAAAACACCCACCCTCCGAAACAACCCCCCCCCCAAAAAAAAGGAAAAAGAGAAAGTTCGTATTTGTTCAGTTGCCCTCAACTCTCCAAGCATACCTACAAAAAACATTTGGGTGTGTTGCCCCAACAAATGGAAACAAAGACTAAAAAACCTGCGGTCCATATCCTGGTTCATTTCGACCCACACCGTGCCCACACCCGCTTGGACCCCTCACCTCCCGGCTCCGGCTCCGGCTCCGTCCGAGGCGCGCCGCCTGCGCCGCCTTTGGCCTCCAACTCCGCCAGCTGCTGCTCCAGTTGCTGCAGCTGCTGCCGCACCTGGCGGGTCCAGACTACGCCTCTCGCGGTTTTGACGGAAGTGATGAAGCCAAAGAAACCTGCAGACCACCTGTGAAGGGCGCTGTGGGGGGAAAGAAACCAAAGGGACAAACTCCATGTCCCAACATGTTATTTAATACACATGGGTTTACAGAAATGCATCTATGCCGATGCAAGTGTGCCGTAAACATACTCTGTGGCATGCATCCAAATGTATGCTGGGCCTTGACTCCGGGCCTTGACAACGTCACCAGCGTCCCGTGCTTTCAGCTGGGTGACCTCTGTCTTCACGCTCTGGCAGAGCCGTGCAAAGCCGAGGCTGGAGATGGTCTCCTCGTGGCAACACAAACCGCCAGGCGCCCGAGGGAAGCTTCCGAAACAACGCACACGGAGAAGCGAGTGCGAGAGCCCGCTACAAATAAGGATAAGGATTTGAGTGCCAAAAAATACGGGACTCTCAAGGTCATGGGTCAAAACCAGGTACCCCCAGTGAACATCCCAATCCCCACTAAAATAGACTAAAATGGGTGGTGCACCTATCCCAAAATGGTACCATTGGTTTTGAATACGGGACCCTCCAAAAAGCAAACCCATTTCAGTTTCTCTCTGACAGAGGAGAAGGCCTGAGGCTTGGAAAGCTCAGGTTGACACAGTCTGAGGCGAGAGGAGAACTGCACTTCCATTGCCCGTATGGACACCTGCACGGTAGGGTGATTCATCTCCTGAGGTGGCCCAACGCCAAAACTGCAGAGTGGGTTGGGGGCCTGAAAAAGCAGGTCTATTCTGCAAGAAATGGACAGCCGATGTTCATGCAGCCTTTTCCATTCATTGAAGTCCAAGTCTCTCTAACCATCATTAACTCGCAGGGACAAGCATGAAACGGACAAAAAAAAGTGGAACCCACGAACGCCGAACTCACACATCTTCGGACGCCCCCGTCAAACTCGACCAGCCCCCCGCGGTCTTGAACCAACAAACACTCTCTCCGCATCTCTCCGCCTATGCTGGGCTGGACATCTTAAGGACCGGCTTGGCCTGAAGCACAGGTAACCCATGAACTCCCCTTGGTATGGTAGCGAAAAAACTGGATTTTTGTTTTTTTGGCGGACCCCCAGTAAAAAATTGAACATAGCCAAAAAACTGATAAAAAAGAAGAAGAATAAAAAAACAACATGCCAAGAACAGTGAAGTAACCCATGAACTCCCAAGGTAACCAAGCTCTTTACCCTCGACCCCCTCGCACCTCGAAAGGGCAAACTTGTTCAATGGCTGGGTGAGTGCTTTGAAGAATCCCCTTGCTTGACTCCATCGATTTTGGCCCATGGCCTCCCCGTTTTCTTGGATGACGTTGCAAGGGGAGGCAAACAAAATAAATTTTAGCAGTTGAGTGCTTGGATTTCAGCCACTAAACCACAACAAGCAAAAATGTGAGAAAATGCTTCCCAACAACTTGGTGGCTCTTGACCCCTCTGCAAAACGTTCAACATGTTGTGGGTTTAGTGGACATCGCCTGGATTTCAACCAAAAAGTTAAGGTCTAAAGTTCGAACCCAATATTTGTTGTTGTTGTTGTTGTTGTTGTTGTTGTTGTTGTTGTTGTTGTTGTTGTTGTTGTTGTCGTTGTTGTTGTTGTTGTTGTTGTTGCTGTTGTTGCTGCTGTTGTTGCTGCTGTTGTTGTTGTTGTTGTTGTTGTTGTTGTTGTTGTTGTTGTTGTTGTTGTTGTTGTTGTTGTTGTTGTTCTTGTTCTTGTTCTTGTTCTTGTTCTTGTTCTTGTTCTTGTTGTGTGGTTGTGGTTGTGGTTGTGGTTGTGGTTGTGGTTGTGGTTGTGGTTGTGGTTGTGGTTGTGGTTGTGGTTGTGGTTGTGGTTGTGGTTGTGGTTGTGGTGTGGTTGTGGTTGTGGTTGTGGTTGTGGTTGTGGTTGTGGTTGTGGTTGTGGTTGTGGTTGTGGTTGTGGTTGTGGTTGTTGTTGTTGTTGTTGTTGTTGTTGTTGTTGTTGTTGTTGTTGTTGTTGTTGTTGTTGTTGTTGTTGTTGTTGTTGTTGTTGTTGTTGTTGTTGTTGTTGTCGATCCAACCCAATAGTCTAAAGTCAAGACAACCACATTTTGCCCGGTCGACGCTCCTCCTGGTGTTGGGGATCTTCTGAGACCGTCACCACCACCGCGGTGCGACAGTTGCCCGCGAGGCTGTCCTCTCTTTTCCAGGCGAGCTGTCCAGGGATCCGTTTTTCTTTTCAGGAAACCATCTTAAAAACCCAGGGGAAACAGATCCGGTTTTTGAAAAGAACGATGGTTGAATGGGGAATAATCCCCTAGACCTTTTCAACAATGCGTGTCTCAAGACCGGGGACACCTTTTCCCAGAGGGTCCAAAAACCTAAGGAGGTACTTAGACCCCTTTCTACTCGCCAAGGTACTTGGACCCTCTGGGTCTTGGATGGTCAAAAAATATCTGAACTCAGCAGACACGCTCTGGTGGGCCTCTGCAACTGGTTGTGGAATTTTACAACATTCATTGTGTTTGTTCAATATGGGTTATGTTTTGAAGGCAAAAATGGTTGGTGTGTTTTCTGCCGAAGCTGCCTGTGTTTTTCGGTGCGGGTACCGGGGTATATGCCTTCGGGGTATCGGGGGTTCGGATACCCTACACACAATGTTCAGGCCCAGTGCTACAACCGTACCTTGCCCGTACCGTACCCCTACGCTAAACCCCCAAAAGCATGGCGCCTGATCTCAGCTACCTAGTGGGAAGTCCCAAATTCTGACAACCCTTTCACACGGCAATGAAGAAACATGCGGAAAGTGCCGATTGGGGGCGGCATTTGGAAGTCGTATATGCCTTTGAAGTGGTCGACGAATCTTGAGGCCACTTCCGCATGACACCTATCTCCACAAGCAAAAGGCAACCCAATATCTACCGTTTCAAGAATCTGCGTTCCGCTCGACAAAAAGATGCGCCCCACAAGACCAGGACATAGAATACCCTCAGGGTTTGTAAAAACTTGTTTGGATACACGTAGCTGAAACAAAGGACAGTCAAGTTGTTGCCGTTCACTAATGGGGGTCTTTCGCTGGCCCCTTGGCTGTAACATGGACCACAGCTTCTCAAACGTTGATACCGCGTCTTCAGCTATGAATTGCTCCAGGGCAAAAAGCGAGGCAATAAATTTGTCTTCCAACCTGCCATCCGTGGGTATTGCATACGTAGCCCATCCCTAATTGGAACAGTCCTCATTTTCCACGGGAACTCACTTCCTGAGTGCATTGGCCCAAGCTCCCAAACTTTTGGTTTACCACAATGGTTAATGTGAGTCCAGGAACTCGTGAGGATCGTTCGTTTTGTCTCTTTAGTTTTGAGCCGACACGGACGCCTTCAGCATCATGGTGAGCACGGAGTCCCTGAACGGCACGAAGGGCGAGCTCTTGGCCTCGCGTGGCGCGGAGATTCTTGCAAAGGCTACCCTTTTGGAGGGGGCCCTGAGGTAGGTGGGGGTTTGCTGAAAACCCTCTCTCCCCCTCCGGCGGACGGTTGGGGGTGAGGGAGGACGTCCAAAAGGCAAGGGCAAGCCTGTCTGCAAAGGCTGCGGCTTGCACTTGTGAGACAGGCTGCAAGCCAGCTGGGCAATAGAAACCCGGGCCGAGCTGCGAACATGTTCAGTGTCCGCACAAAATGCCGACCACCAATAGGAGACTACTAAACTACTACACATCGGAAGATCTCATGACTAAGAGTTGGTCTATCACACAAAGGATGTCAAAACGTCGCTGGTATCTCCAAACATCAAAACTACCCAAGCATGTCAAACAAATCTTCAGCGTCGAAGATGGCCTCAAGGCAAACCAAAATCGGCTCGCCACATCACTTCCCGAGTGGACCCCAAAAAGTCCGAACTTTCTGTTTGCAACTAAAATGGTCCAAACCCAAAAAAGGTTGCAAGTCCATGAACTCGGGGAGTGAGGATTTTCTTCCCCGGGATCCTCCAGCCGATCCAACTCGCGAACGAGCTCCCGCGCCAGCGCTGCAATGACCCGCGCCAGGGCGGTCAGCGAGAGGTTGATATTTTTCGCCTCCTGAAAACTTCGAATCCCATCCGGGGAGGTACAAGGTGGTACCCTCCCACCAATCAACACATAGAACCTGACGCGGGGTCCTGGTTCACGGCCATTAGAATTTGGCGATCCCCTCCCCCAAAACACAAAACTGTGGTTGTTCTTTTGGTGTTTCTTTAAAAGCATCCAACAAAGGGAGTACCAACTCCCAAAAAGAGACACCCATTTAGGGTCTTGAGTCGTAGCTTCCCAACACCAGGGCTCTAACCTGCTGGAAACAAGCAGTCTCCAAAAAAGGGGTACCAACACAAGGCTACCAACTTCAAAAAAAATGGAGCGCCAAAAAATCCCAAAAGAACATAATGGTGGTTTTGGTCTGGCCATTTTTCTCTGTAAACGCCATCCCGAAAAAGAGAAAAAAAGGAAAAAACGAGCGCCCGCCATTTCAGGCCCTCCCGCCAAGATTTTTGGAGACGTCCTCGGCCCGGATGTCCAGGACATGTCCCGCTGAGTTGGCCAAGAAGTTGTCCGGCGCCAGCGACTTGGCGATGCGCTCAGAGCCTTGCGGCTGGGCTCGGGGGGGGGGGGGGGAGTTCGTGTGCTTATGAGCTGCTTTAAGGGCAACCGAAATCCATTTCGGGGGTTCAGAGATGATGGTGTTTCCCAATATTTGTTTGAGGCCAAGTTTTTTTGGCTATAGTATATACTATAACTATTTCTGACATCACCTTTCGAGGGTACTCGTTGTGTTGTTTAAAAGGGAAGACACCGGCAAACCACGGTCCCAGTACCTGAACAGAAACATAATCCAGACCATTGCAAGCACAAACACGACATAAAATCCGAGAAGGTAAGCAAAGCCCTGCAGCATTTGCCCCAGAAGGCTGTCCAGGTTCATCCCGGAGGGGTCTACACATCTAAGTTGTCGGAATGGATGGTCTATCATCTCAACAGGATTCGAACAGGTTCCCAATCAAGTTGAGCCACGAGTCCTAAAGGGCGCATCCCGGGCCACGTCCTAAAGGGAGCATCCCGCGCCACGTCTGCCACATGGGTCTGGGTCAAAATTAAACCACCAGGGGACCGCAGGTTTTAGTCCTTGTTTCCATTACTGGGGTTCCATTTGGGGATTTGTGACCCACACTGCATGCTTCTCCCCTGCCCCTTCGCCTGCGAGATCCACGAAGAGGAACTTGCCTCCGGTGCGGGGGGTGGTGACGGTCACGATGCAGTGGGAGCGGCTGGAGCGGTCGTTGATGGCATGGGACTTGGTGGTCCGGGAGCCGTCCACGATGGACATGAGGCTCAACACGTCTTGCAAGTTCCTGGGCAAATGATGCGAACCCAAGCCCCTCAGCTGGAAACCGGAATAGACTTTTGGTGGAGGAAAGAGGGGACTCCCCCCTCAATCCTGCCCTGTGAAAGGGGTTTCATGAAAGAAGTTGTCATAGAGTGCCCCACCAATTTCAAGGGTCAATCATGAAAAACCCAAAGAACAAACCCAAAAGCCCTACCGCCTGTTCTTTTAGGCGCCGGCCAGGGAATATCCCGCCACAATTGCTTAATCCCTATCCGCCAGTATTTCACCACGGCCTTGCCCTTCCATCGAAAGCAGGGAACCGCGCGAAAATGAAAACTGGCCACGGATGCCCAGTGAAGGTGGAGGGAATCCCGCGCCTTTACGTGGGTATCCCAGTGCATTGAGTCACCGCTCTTGAAAAGTATCGCTATGAGACGGCTGTCTTCCAAATATTTCGTGTGGAGCAACTGCAATGTGCAAAGTGTAGGGCCTGGTCTAGAGGTTGAGGTTGGAGCCGGAACTGGGTGTCTTTTTTGTGGGTGCCGCCTTTTGGTTGGCTTGAAACCACCATTCTGAGGGCTTCCTGAAACAACAAGCAATTCACTCAAGCTCTTAAAGTGATACACCGCCGTTGAACACCAGGATCGTCTTGCCCAATCTGTGTCTTTTTTGAAGGACCCCTCCCCCCCAAAAAAAAAACGGGTGGTGTTCCTTGTGGTTTCCGCTTTTTTCTTGTTTAACCATCCCCAAAGGGGGTACCCTCCAAAAAGAGACCCACCTCTTGTCTCCAAGAACTCTGCCGATGTCCCAAAGCCCAAGAGCCCGAGCTTAAGCCATGATCAGACGTCGTTGCAGCAGGCCTCCGATATGCAAACAGAAACCGCTCACCGTCTGGGGCCCTGGGGTTTGAAAGCAACTGGTAAATCATCTTTCAGGGAAAGGCGTTCAGGGTTGATTTCTGACTCGAGTGGTTTGGCACTAAGGCAGCTCTAACAACCACACACACCATATCAGACCATAGTTGGCGCAATTGAGCGCCAAACTGAATCCCCAGGACGCTGCAAGAGAGCAATCTTTAGCTTCCTAGCTGGTTAGCTGCCAGGTTCCGAGCCGGATTCCCGGGCTCAACATTGAAAGAAGCGACACGCAAAATACCATTCTCTGTAAGCCATGAACAATCACCAAGCAGAGTCCACTTGTCTAAACTCCTGAGCAAAAGACGGACCACGTTAAAGCCATAAGGTCAAAGCTGGGCTTCTCTGACAAGTGAAGGAACCCGCTTTGCGCCCCATTTGAAGCCGGTTGCCACGTTTTGTCCCACACGGAACCCCCTGCCAAGCTTCTGCAGGGTCATCTGAGTCTGCCCCGCCACTTTGAAGCTCGACATCTCCTGGTGGGGCCAGACGTCCCCTTGAAGTAAAATTATTTTGATGTGGGTGTGGGTCAAAATTGAACCAGGGACCCGCAGGTTTTCGCCCGTATTGACTTGCTTCGCTCTTCTTTGGTGGCAACCTGGCCAGACTTCCTTGGCCAAGTCTCTCCGCTTGGAGTCCCACTCGAGGGGAGGTCCCCTACCTATTTTGTTCTATGTTTGTTTCCATCATATTGGCCAAAGACCAACAAGCACAAGCAATTCAACCACACATGCTCTTCTTTGGGTTTGTTGTGTTTGGTGAAACCAACCAGGCCAACAACAGCCAGAAAGCAAACGAAACAAAACCCGTTCCAAGGGGCGCCCGGGTTCTTAAACTACTCACTTGCCCAAAGGACCTGGAGATCAATTCTTCTGTGACCTTGACTAAATATATCGAGCATGGGAAAACCAAACACAAAACAACAATCCGATCCGGTGCGTTTCGGACTGAGACCAAAAAGCACTTAATTACCGGCAGAAGCGGGGGGGGGGTGACTGGGGGGTGGCTTCGACGTTTTTTGGTCTCCTTGGAGAAGAACTCCGGGCCGTGGGCGGCGATGCTGCACTTCTTGGAGCCAGCCACCTGCACCTGGCGGAAAAGAACTCCGACTTCCGTCCAGCGCGACTTCGCCCCATTTGCTGTCCGCTGGCCCCGCTTTCCGCCCCTCAGAATCGGGACCAGAATGACAGAAACAAGGTGGCCTTCCGAGGCTGGCTTCTCTGGAAAGAGCTTACACCAAGTGCCTCTTTAGCCTTAAAAAACAAACACACGCCTTGAAAGTCTGTTTGGGTCCTCAACATCGGGCATTCACACCAAGACACCCCAAAACGCGATCCGATCGGTCCCTCACACAAAAAGTGGCCCCGATCAAAATCCAAGAAACGGGGTACCCTTTCGTCCACTAACATGGAAACCCACCTCCCTTTTAAAGGAGGCTGGTCTAGGATTCTTGGGCCGTATATACATATTTCAGGACTCTTGGCGAAAGCTGCGCAATGCAGGCACATAGAGATTTCACACTCCCGTTTTGTTTCCTGCTGGGATCAGCGTCTGGGACTCAAGTAGAAATGTGCTGAAATTATCCATATCTGTCAGGCCTGGTTCCGATTGTTCAGCAGGTCAAAGCAGTTGTTCCTTAGCCAGACAGGACAGCCTGCAAAACTCACTCGGCGTTTCTTTCCGATTACACGTCATGGAAACTCAGGGCTAAAGTTGGCAAAAGGCGGGCCGCACTCCCTGGAAAAGGCAACACATCGCAACAACACGTTGAATGCGCAGAGATAGGATTCGCTTTTGGACAAGTCCCATTCTGGGTTCCATGCTAGCCTTCAGAGAAAAAGAAACGAACCGCAGAGACAAGGAGCCTGCAAACATCGAGCGATCCATCCCTGGGTGGCTGCCTCTTGGAAGAAGGAAGACAATCCCCCGACCCGCCACCGAATCGTCTCTAAAGTGTGCCCAGCCTGTTGCACCAAAGTAGAAATCTGTCATATCTGGATTCTGGTGCAACTTTGAACCTCAGAATGAGTACCAAACAAGAACCAGGACCACAGCTGGGCAAACCCTCATTGGTTAAGCTCGTTCCTCCTGGACTTCCTTCAGAGGCGCCTAGGTCTCGTTTAACAGCCCGCCCTAAGCAGCAGTGCAAGGCTAAAGGCCCAGGGCCTGGTTGCACCGCATGGGTTTGTCTCGACCCCACAAGTTGTGGAAGCCCTTGTGGTTTCCCATGAAAAGCACCAACCAACAGGTGCCTCCCGAAGAAAAAACAACTAAACCACCAACCACAAGGGTCCCCCCCTAAAATGTAAATAAAAAGGGCCTAGAACAAAAATAAAACACAACACGCCCAGGTGTTGCAAAACCAGCGACCATCCCCTCCTGCCCAGGCTCATGTACACCTCCGCCACGCTGGCCGTGAGCGGCCCCTGCCGCAGGAACTGCATGGCCGCGCGGGGGAAGACGCCCCAGGCGGCCGGAAAGTCCTGGCCCTCCTGCGCCGAAAAGACGAGCGGCTCGCTCGGGAACGACCCAAGACACGTGCCGCGAGTCTCCAGGATCTCATGCTCGAATGCGGTCATCTACCCAAAATAAGGGGTCAGCCCTTTGTAAAGGGTCAAGACTCCAGGATCTGGTCAAGGCCTGGATGTTCTACTCCCTTAGCTAACATTCGAGGACTCCCATCTTCGCATGGCACTCTTGATTCAGAGCCATAGCCATAGCAACCAATTCGTGGCTCGGAAGATGCAACAAGTAGCTATTGAAGACGGGCCATGCGCGGAATGGCCAAAATTGGATGCAGAAGACGATAGACGCGCTTGATCAAACCAACACCCCGGAAGCAAAAGCGGCTGCGAATCGCCTCCTTACTTTCAAGGGCCGAATCACCGGCGAAACGTTTTGAACTCGTGCAGACAAGTACTTCCCGGAACTTCTTCCAGTAGGAACCAAAGGAACCCTGCGAGCATCGTATGTCGAGTCAGTGGGAAACTGATCCTGCAGAATCTGCGCAAGCAGCAAATTAATCAGGCAAATTAAGATTCAATCAACAGTCAGAAGATGTAGAACAGAAAAAACAGAATCAAAAAACACTAGTAGGAACACAGGAACACTGCTTGTGTTGACCAAGACATGCCCTGACGGTTTACCTAAAATGATCCTGCAACCAGGACTGCATCTTACTGTGGGGATCCCTTTCAGAAAGACTTATGTAGAAAAGACTTGCTTGCCACTGGGCATGGGAAAACAAGGACACCCCCATGTTCCTCTGTGCATTCAGGGGTTGAACACCATCTCTGGACAACAAACAGACACGAGACACGAGTGCTACTGGGCTGGGAAGACGAAGCATTCAGGGCGAGAAAGTCATCCTGCCCAGCTTCATGAAGCAGATGCCGGGCAAAGCAGCTGGGAGGGCCGAAGAGGGTGTGGGTCTTGCCGCTCCCAGTCTGGCCGTACACAAACAGCGTGCAGTTGCCTGAGGCGCTTGAAGCCACCCAACATTGCACCATATGAAAGCCATGAAGGCGTGGGAAATCCCATCCATCATTGGATACCCATAGGGAGGCCTTAAAACGACCAAGCTGCAATGGTTGATCCTTCCAAACTACAAAACCGCAAGGACCGCTATCATTGACTTCCACTCACCAAACAACGCCTTGAATCTACCACTCATGCTTGGCAATAATTCTCCTGGGAGCCCTTTCGGAACTCGATCTGGACATCTTGCGAGGTTCACACTGCCTTCGTTTGCAGAATGGAAACTCCGGCGCTGCGCTGGCTCCAAGTCTACGGGTTGCCGGCTCTCATCGGAACTTCACCTGTGCTCAGTTGGTTCTGTCTGTGTTGTGTCAGTCGGCTGATTGGCTCGCGGAAATGAAATCCGCATTGCCTGACATCTTAGTCTCGCGAACTTAACAGGAACCTCCTTGAGACGCCGGTGTGTGGTTCTTTGCCGAACGGGCAACACACCGTCTACTGATGTGCGTGTTTGCTATCACACGGCAACATTATTGGCTTTAGCAGTGTGGTTCTGTCGATGCTGCAATGCTGCAAGTTCGTTTGATGTTGGCTTTGCTGAATCCGTAACATTGTTTGTTTGAGAGCACCCTTTCCAGCTTGGTTCAATGGGAGCACAAAGGAACACTATCATTCTCGGGCCCCTGATTTTGACATTATTTGAGACATACCCATACCCTTGGGCTTGTTCTTTGACGTGAGCTTTGGGCATACGTGGTAACAGGCCTCATTTAGAAAGACCCTTCCTCGCACTAACATCGGCCTGCTTGAGACATTCCACTTTCGCCTTTGGAAAGCGCGCCAGCGGTCCATAGACGAAATGACCCCCAGCAATCAATCGAAATTTGCGGATTCGCATGATGGAACAAAGACAAAACAAGAGCGAATCCACAGTTGCGTGCTTTTGCAATACCGCAGCAGGCCATACCCACGACCACTTTTTTGCAAGCGGATTTCCTTGGCTCGCCAACGTGAGCCCGTGAATGGGCGACCCCTCAAGAGAGCTTGGTGGACAGAATTATATAAATCCCCCCCCATGTAAACGATATTCACCAAACTCTGTGGACCTCGACTACAATTCAAACCCATGTGTGTGTGTGTGAACTGACTCGAACCCGCAGTTCAAACCCATTCCACTGGAGGAAACCTGGGCTTGATACCTGGGGTCACCTGCCTCAAGCAAGTGTGTAAGCTTCACCAAGCTTCAAGGAGTTGGCCCGACTGGTCAGGGCCATGTTTTAGGCCAACACCCAGAATAAATACGAATGGCCCCGAACAAAAATGGCTCAACCGGCCCGCATCCACAAATGGATGTGTCAAAACAAGGCTTTACCCCTTCCCCCCCAAAAAACAAGAAGAAGAAGAAGAAGAAGAATTGCAGGTTTCCCTTTGGCTTCCCTTTTTGCAGCAACCCCCCACACTTCGTGGCCCTGGTGGACCTTCTGGCGCTCGCTTTCCGCTTTCTTCACCGCGGCGCAGCCCTGCAGGAAGCTCTCGCACAAGGCGGGCGCGACGGTGTCGAAGGCGCTCTCCTGGCTGCACTCGGAGCCCAGGGTGCGGAAGGAGCCGATCTCACCTGCCCAGCTTTCGATCGATCCGAGACGGCTGAAGTCCTCAGCTGCTTTTGGTGTCTGCATATTCGTCAACCCCAGTTTACTCATAGGGCGTTCCAGGCCCCTCCAAAAGTAGTCTGAATGGCCTGATCTGTGCACTTCCAGGCTTCTTGGTTGGAGGGTACCTGATTTTAGCTGGCTGAAGGGAAATCAATCTAGGACACCCTCTTGGGCAAGTCATACATACAATCCTCAAGACACACAAGGAACCTCACATAATGTTGACCCCATAAGAATCAACCCCAGTTTATTACAGTAGTAGGGCGGTGGGGGCGGTCTGATTCCCCACATTTCACCCAGGAAAAAATACCTTTCTATTCACAAACTGGGGTTGATTCATGTGGAGTCAGACTACCGGCCCTTTGAAGCCTCAATGTGTCACCTGCCCATTGCACCTGGCAAGCTGCCCCCTTCGCAGGGCTTCACTCGCACGTTCACTTGCACGGCGAAGCCGGGCTTTCGCGGGCTCTTCGACATGGCTAGGCCATCTGAGTTGCGTGGGCTGCCCGCGATGCGGGCAAGGAAGACGCACCTGCATCAAGAAGACCGCGTTTTTTTTCAGGATGAGCAGCTTCATCTATCTGGAAGTGTTCTTGGGAAGGAGAGTCACGAGAGCGTCGTTGTGTCCTTCTTGTCCAGGCGTCGTTGTGTTGCAAGTGCGATGTCTGTGTATCATCCTACCAAATACCAGACTCGAGCAATTCACGTTTTTTGCGGAGCGTGGAATGGTACCTGTCACTACAGCCCATCGGCTGCGATGGCAAAGCTCCCGCATCTGAAAGAGGGCATTGCAGGGTGGCACGCATATGCACAAATGGCATGGGCGCAGCCTAAGGCCAGGAGAATTGAAGAATTGAAGCAAAGCAAAGCATGCAAAATAAACCCCCTTTCCGGATAGCATGGGCTGCAACATGGACATGGTCTGCTTGCGTCTCAGCATGCTCGGTCCCAGCATGCTGGTTCAATCAGCCTCTCCCTTCTGATTTGCAGCGCGTCACTTTTCTGGCCGCCAACTTTGGACCTCCGGCCCTAAATAGTGCAAGTGAACCTTCCATCCGTGGCTCGTCTTAACTGTTGTTTTACCCAAATTCCCCTTAGCCTGAACATGGCGAGCAATGGTTGTCCTTTTGGTGTCCCTGAACCAACCTAGAGTACCCTCGAAAAAGACACACTTACCTGGAGTCTCCTGACCCTTAATTGGTTGGTCCACCCAAAAGGCGTGACCCTTTGAAAACAGGGTCTAGGTGCGTGTGGTCAAGTCTAAAGGAACCATGTGTGATCAACGGACCGGTTATGCCAATAAGTAAGGCATGAGTTGCTATGCAAAATGGGCAAACCCCTGATATGGCCATGGATCAAAACCCCGTACCCCCAGAGAACGTCCCAATCCCCACTAAAATAGACTATAATGGGTGGTGCACCTATCCCAAAATGGTACCATTGGTTTTGAACCATGGCCATATCCACATTCCAGAAAACAAGTGGACCCCCAGTCACCGACTAGGCCAAATTCAATGGTATACGCGTGAGGGGACAAAGTGACAGCAACGTAGTCAGCTTAGGAACCAACTCCCCTCAGCTCGTACCTTGTCCAAAAACAATTAATTGTTCACACGTCGGTGCCTCCGATTCAAAGCGTTGGTGGACTGTTCACCATGCAACCGGGACACACACCTAAGTCCTCCAGTAGAGAGGTTAGAATAAGGGTACCCTTTCTTTTCTGTAGTAGGGGAGCCCTCCCAACCAAAAAAGGGGTGAGAAAGAGCACCTAGCTGGGGGATCTAGAAACCGCTCGCAGTTCACTTGCAATATCCAGGGGATTCCACGCTTCTCATTCAGCCACGCTCAAGGGGTTGGAGGCCAAGCCTGGCTCGTCAAAGCAGGTGGCTTGCTTGGGTCATGCGGTGGACATTGACATTGACATTGAGGCCATGACACGCCAACCTAGCGAGAAATTGCAAGCAACGAAGCCATGAATAATTCAAACCATTGCAAATTAGAGGATGCCCTTGCACCCTACTTGCAATCTTTAGCAATTCCACTGGGATTGGCAACCTCGCCGGTGACAATTCTCGGAATACACCCCGAAAGGCCTTGCGCCCATTTCGGGCGAAATGCTTCGCTTCAGCTCGGGATCTCGCCAATGTCTATTCAATGGCACAAAAGTGAAGGCCCCCCCTCCCACATTGTCTCTCTACCATTTCCCTTGCACCCACCTTGGTACAGAAATGTCTGCTATTGGGGCGCAGCCCCTCTGACCCATTTGCCAGGGCTTGGGGATATCAGTTTGCCATCCCCGCTGAAGCTCCTTCAATGAGGCACATGGAAAGGTTTTGGTCACGATCCCGGGGCCCACTGAGTGCTGAAAAGCAACATGCGCATGGATCTCATGGACGCCGGGTATGTCAGGGGTATATACGCAGCTGTTGCCAGAAGTACTTTGCAAATCAGTCTTGACAAAGGCTCTGGCCCGAATATGTCCTCCCCAACTGGCCACACAGTTTTTCCATGCAGAAGTAGCCCCACTGCCCAGCGGATGGGACCTTGTTGGCCCATCTCCTCACATTTTCCTTTCCTAGCAAACAACCACAAACATCCAACTGAATGCTCATGTCCTGAAAAAAAACAAATGAATGGATCCCTGAGCCTCACCGCGAATCCCTTTGCTTGTCTCTCCCCAGCACAAGGGCAGGCAAGGTAGTTTGATCCATGGCAAAGGCTTGGCCCAGCCATTCATGAAGCTTGGAGCTTTGAAATTCAAGAATCCGAAGAGCGATCCTTGAGATTGCCAGTTGAACGCATTGAAAACAGCAAAAGGACAACTATAGTATACCTGGGATGGATCCATCTTGTGACAAGTCAGACTTAAACCTAGAGTTTTGTTCGGGAAATCAACCCCTGAGTTGCAGTCCTTGGGGTCGCAACAAGGAACCCGGAACAAGCCCTCCCAGAGAAACTCAACTGCCTTCAGACCTACACCACCCCCGTCCAAAAGTCAAAGCCGGGGAGGGCCCCAGAGCGTTCGGCGCAACGCCTCGAAGTGCGTTGCATCGGCCCCACTCGACTCGTTTCGATCCAGCGGTGCTTCCCCACAGGTTGCGGCATAAAGGATGCGGGGCGCAATGCTTGGAGTCAGGGAAACATATCCCCCGAAATCTTGCGACTTTACTCCTGGTTGCCGCTGGCAAAACCAAAAGCAACGACCAGGCACATGGCTCCAGAAGGCTCTGTCTTGTTTTGCTGCAACTGACGCGTGAGAGAACAGTCCGTGTTGGGATGGCTCCTGTAGCGGTACTCTTGGCAGAGCCGTCTGATTGCTCTTGTGCATTTTTCTGAATGCCATGCTGAGAAACTGACTGATAGTCGGGCTTCAGCGAAATCCACCGGAACCCGCTTTTGTTAGGCTCGTGGGCGGTATGTTGTCCGGAAATCAGCCAGCAACAGTGGATGCAATGCAGGAACAATGATCAACAGCAATTCAGTTTGGGTAGAACATACTTGGCATCTTTGCGACAAGTACAATCAAGTACGATCGTTGCTGCACGAAACAATATTTTGCTCCTGGCATCCTGGCACAAGTGTACTTGTCCCTGTGCCCGAATGGGAATCATGGGAACAATGCGCAGGACACACCCCTGCAACTGCACTCTATGCATGAAACGGGGGAACGTACGAAAATGGGGAGCTTTCCTTTTGCTGACTTTTCAAGCCATCCAAAAAAAATGAGAAATACGCATGGGGGTTGATCAACAGGTTCATGGGATTACCATTGTGAAACACCACTAGAAAGCTGACATATCCCACATGGCAAAAGCTGCCCATGGTCAAAACTGGGGGCAAGGAATATTGATCAACCCCCCCCCACACACTCCACAAAGCAACGGTGCTCCACGTACCGCCGCGCTATCGCGGTATCTCGCTGCGAGCCCGGCTTTGGTGAAGGCTGCGCCGTCCACATCGTCTCGCACGCCCATCCACAGTGTCCAGGAGTGCAATGTTTCCTGGCGGATGATATCCACTTGGATGTTCAACCAACGTCAGGTGAGTCGCAATCAAAACCTGGTATAAAAATGGTTGACCCAGAACCCTGTAAAGAATTAAGAAGGCGGCCGCAGCTATTTATGCTTGGGATCGCCCCTTACTAACCTTCATCTACCCAAGTTTTGATTGCTCAGGTAAGTAGGCTATAGCCATGGTTATAAGGGGACCAAGTTATGACCATGGTTGTAACATACTCTACCATGTCCTTAGCTACCCTCTGTAAAAAGCAAATTTGAATACCCCCAACTCCATAGCTCTCTTCCAACCACCGGCATTTGCTAAGTTGGTATATCCGATCCCAAGCAGTCGGGGTTAAGTGCACCAAATCACGACGATGGGAAGTGATCACGATTACGAGAGATGTGTAAAAGCAAATGGCCCAGCCACCCTTTCAGCAAGACGAGGGGACATCAAGTCCCCGCTGTGAGCATTCTGACAACACACATTTGTTTGCAGGAACAATGTGGTGACTTCATGGACATGTTGCCTATCACTCTCTATTGCCCTCGTGCTAAATGAGTGGAGGCTCTGCGTATCTCTAATCAGAAACCAACTTTTTTCCTTGGCCATTGTTAACTATACATTTCCCAACATTCACCTATTTAGCGTGAACCGCAACTCACTTCTTGAGGGAAAGGCCAGAAGGCCCTTGTGACCAACCCAAAGGGAGAGACTAGGTGCAGCGTCTTATCCTGAAATTTTAGCATTTGACCGCAATGCGCGTTGACATACCCAGCTCCTGATCCGCAAACATCTCCACAATGTTCCTGGCGTCGAAGAATGTGTGAATACGAGTTGGACGAATAAATGTTCAGAAACCTGGGTGCCTGCACAAGCTGCCGCCCTTGCAATTGGCGGATCACATGCTTCGCTTGCCGGGCCTCGCCAATCTTCCATGAGCTTATGGCCAAGGCGTGCCAAGACCGGCTACCCCCTTATTTGTACAAGTGTAACACCAAACGGAAAATGTTCAACCTGTTTGACCACTGTTTGTGTTGTTACAATTGTAACACCGGTGCTACTTTGCTCGTTCGGGACCGTTTCGCATTACGATGATCTGGCAGGAAATGCGCTCATCACAAAAGCACGGTTGGGTTTATGGAGTGAGCAACCACCAACCAGCAATGAATTAGTCTATTCACCTTTATATATATAGATATACTGGTTAATTGAGGTTCCTGTTGCCGTTGTTTGGAAACACATGGCAAAAGCGGCTTCGCATTTGAGATAGGCCAAGACCAGCAGGATGTCTTACCCTTCCCCGACACAATGGCCGTATTGATCCGGAAGCCCCGATTGTCTGCTTTCACCAAACACCCGTGTGCTGGTCTTGAACAATACGATCCCGTGCGCAGAACCCTTCACAGGGCTTTCGAGCACACCCATGTTTTTGTTGGCCCGCATTACAGGGATGGTTGGGGTGATGGCTGGGGCATGCTCAAAAGATATGTCGCAGCCTTCTTGGAATGACAGCTACGGCTCTTATCTCAAGCGATTTGGAACCTT